CAATTTAATTTGGGTAAAAGTAAAAATATGAGGAGCCCTCCACACGTTTGTGGGCAAGCCGCATGTACTTGTAGGCACAACATTTCGAAAAATGTTGCTTAAACCTCTATAGGCTTAATTTATAAGGAGTGGGACAAAGAAAAAGCCTATACCCGAGAAGTACAGTATAATTTAATTACTTTAAAGGTGGGTGATGGCTGATTTTAAGCTTAATTTCTTTAGTGCAAGTTATAATTACTATCAATATTGAGATATAATGTACATAGAATCTGTAAATAAATATGATTAAAATAAAATAATATTTACCGTTCTATCACTTCAGATTTTCCACCGGATGAAACCGTACCTCTCCAATTTTTCGCCATGCGGTTTTTAAATTCGAAATTCAAAAAAAATGGAGTGCCGGTAAAATTTTTTGAATCTTATCTTATTTTATCTAGCACGTTGTTCACAGACACATGCCCAAAGTGAGCGATGGTGAATTATACGTAAACAGTTTTACGCAATACATGGTGTTGCAATTGTGTATTTTTACTATATATATAATTTTATATAATATCCAATGTCAATCAAATAATGTTTACACGTAGATTAGTAGATTTTCTTGTGCAAAAATTTTTGGAAGAAAGTGATAGTACTGTATTTGTATTTGTACTGGTATTTATTTTATTTAATCATGTTTATTTCTAGGTTTGCTCACATTCTAATTAATGGTAAAATTAATATAGCCAATATATCCCTCCCATAATCAAATTTTTTATTTAATCGGGCATGGGCTTTTTACCTCTCTTTTTATTTTCCCATGGGCGTTTAAGTAAGGGGCTTTGACTCTTGCGCGCACAGGTAACTGCGGCTTGCCCAAAAAACGTGGATGGTCCTCTTATTTATTTAATTATTTCCCATTCTTTTATCCCAGTTAGATAGGCTCTTATGAGAGAACCAAGCGTTGCTCTGTTATATATATATCTTTGACATATATATGACATTTTAGAACTAGTGCGCTTAATATCACGTATCACGTAATTTTATACAATATCATATGACAATTTTATAAATTATACATGTCGAATATCAAAATAATGGCAATCAATTTTTTATTCGATGGAATAATGTAATTTTGATTATATTTATGTAAGCTAAAAATAAAGTGATGGTTTAAAATTATATATTTAGTAATTTAAATGAGTTGTGAGTTAATTAATATTATTTTAATTATGTAATTATTAGAATTATTACAAAGCTCACTAGCCCTAAACGTCATATATATAACAGTTATATATATACAAAAGAATAACGCTTGGTTCTCTTATGAAAAACCTATCAAACTGGGATAAAAGATGAAGACAATTAAGAGAGCCATCCATGTTTTGGGGCAGACCGCAGTTACCTGTGATCTCAAAATGCAAAGCCACTTACTTAAACGCCCATGAGAAATAAGAGGAGGGGTAAAAAGCCTATGACCAAATAAAAAATTTGATTATGGAAGGAATATATTGGCTATGTTAATTTTACTTTTAATTAACATTCTGAGAACCTAGAAATAAACAAATGATTAAATTAAATAAATTACCAGTACATATACAGTACAATCACTTATCAATCAATAATACTAATTCTTTATATATATCCAACTTTGAATATAATCCTATTCCATATTTAATATCACCATGATCATCATACCGGACTTTATCTCTTTATATAAAAAAAAAATTATTTAAAAAACATATGAAAATAACCTAACCAATAAAGTGCTCAATATTTCTCAACTCGATGCGCTTTTGTCCATATGCTTTGAGCACTAGCAAACTGAAATGTTTAGTGACACACCATCGCATCTATGCAGCGTCTACATGACAGTATATTAACTGGATGCAAACCCCCCTCAAAAATATATATCTACCCCCCTAAAAATACCAAAATGTTATCCATAGATAATATAAAAATGTAATGGAAAATTTTCTAGATTATTATAGTCTACCCCCCATAATGCCTACCCCCTACCCCCTAACCCTTTATAGATATTAGGATGCAAACTGTCCCTACCCCCTCCCCCCCCCGCTCATGTAGACACTGCATCTATGAAAAGCCTAAGGTATGGGTAAAATAAAAATAGTCAAAACTAGATAAGGAATTTTGAGATGCATAGTTGATTTTTTAAGGGGTTAAAGGACTGCAATGGGCGGGTTAAAAAAAATTAAGCACTGGGCGGGATAGTTTGTATGTTAAACAAAAATAAACTGTTGGTGAATTTAAAGTATTTTTATGGCGTAATGAACAGAACGAGCTTATATTTATTAAAAATTATTTTTTTATTTTATATTGCATATTTTGTAATAATATTTTACAATAAATAAAAACCCAAACCAACCCATCAAATAATTTATAAAAATTGAGCCGGCGATGGTGGGGAATTAAATTTTTTTTAGGTGGATGAATATATTTTAATAAATCATGTCATGAGCGAGCGGGCTAGCGGGTTAAAAAAATTTAAAACAGTGGACGGTATTATGTGCCAAAACTTGCCCATTGCAGCAGGCGCGTACGCAGGAATTTGGTCTAGGGGGAGATAATAAAATTTTTTAGGAAATATTATTGTTTTTTAAAAATATCAAGCATAAATTTATTAGGACTAATAACTATTTCTAATACACAATTTTAAATTAATTAGAATTATAAAAAAATTATATGTAAAGAATCAATTAAATGACCCAAAATAGAAATTTGAATTTTTTGAGCCTTTACACAAATAGTTTCTGGAATAATTACATTTTGTATGTTATATATTTTGTAAAATCCAATCTTCGTTGTGATTGAGCTAATTTATCAATTATCTCCCTTGCTTGTCGTCAAATGCCTATGAATATTCAAAAGATCCTTTTTAAATATACCCGGGCCGGGCCCGAATTTTTTTTAAAAAAACACCCAAGCTCGTCCTGAATTATTTTAAAAAAACACCAAATCCGGGCTGTATTTTTTAAAACAGCCTATATTTGAAATCGTTATTATTAGCTATAAATTAAAAATAAATATAACTTATTTTAAAAAAATCCGGGCCGGGCCTGAAAATTTTATTTTAAAAAAAGCCGAGTCGGGGCCTAAATTTTTTTTTTAAAAAAGCCGGACCGGACCTGAAATTTTTTTAAAAATAGCCGGGCCGGACCTGAAATTTTTTTTAAAAAAAAACCCAGGCCGGGCCATAAAAAATCTTTAAAAAAAATCCGGGCCGTGCCCCGCAAATGGTACTTCTGCAGGCCTCTGTTATTCTTCTTAAAAAAGAGAATGTTCTCTCATTAGTTTACTAATGAAAGAGTTTATAAACCCTTTTAATACATTGGGAATTTAATCTAAAATGTATTTGAAATAATGCAGAGCATTCATTGCATTTTTTGGGACTATATCAACCATAGTTTATCTTATAAACATAGTTATTCAGCTAGTAGGCATCATAAGATACTTTAACATCTTCATAATAAAAATCTAACAAATATTTTTTTTTCTATCACCATCTGAAAAAGGTTGGGAAGGCTTTTGTGGAAGTAATATTTGCAGATTAGTAAGTGCTGCATGATGAATTAAAAATTCATTTATTTGGGTTATAAATTTATCTGTATTTAAGATATACTCTTCTACTGATCCTATATTAATGTTTTAACGATGAGCTTGCCTTGCTACAAGTCGAAGGAGACAAATATTAAACACGTATAGCTCTGCTTTGACTCAACAATAAAATATGTAATTCTTCATCAACATTAGCCCTAATTTCCTTGAGTTCTGATAAAATGCACTCCGCTATTCTCATCTTCCTAATCAAGTCAATGTCATGTTTTTGAAAAGTAATACTTAAAATAGTTGTATAATTAAATAATACATTCTAATGAGAAATAAAATTTGGAATAAGCATTGAATCAAATAATTTTCTTGCTTCTGAGGAAATATTTCTTTCAGGCCATTGTGATATTTCAGTAATAGCAAATAATTGGCTCTTCTAACTCCTTGAAAGCTGTTACTGCTTGATGGCAGAGCCTCTATCTCGTTGGACAAGGTTGCAATTTCTTTTTCCCTGTTGGACAAGAAGTTTCAGAAATAATATTTATTTGACTATAAATTTGAAAATGGTAGATAAATATTACGCCACTAAAAATTTGGAAATAATAAGTAAATATTACGCCGGAAAACTTGAAATCGAAATTAATTGATAATATAACTTAGTAGATAAATGTGATTAAATATAATTAAATATATATTTAATATGAGATACGAATAAATATTAACAAATATAAATTAATATAAACAATAATATTTTTGAAAAATATATCCGGCATCTGCATTTTTTGGCTTTGGGAGGGGATTTGTCCCCCTGCCCCCCCCCCGCTGCGTACGCCAATGCATTGCAGACATCTAAGTGTTGTATCTGCACGTGGGTTGGGTTGGGATTTGGCCATGTAAATATTTTAAATTTTGGATCGGGTCCAGAAATTTCTTTTCCATGTAGTGGATTTGGAAATATTTTTGCTAAATTTTTTTAATTTTAATCCATCAATAAATTTTTGATTGATATTATCTTAAAATTTTATTCAGTTTAGATATTTTATATAAAAAATTTGATTTTGGGGTAAAAATATAAAATAAATTTTCTGATTAAATTAGGTCGGGAAGTCTTTTTTATAAAAATTTCGGATCCGGTAGTGTCGTTAAAAGCTTTTTTTCCTTACGGGTTGTGTGAAAAAACTTTATCATTTGCTGGTCTCTAATCGTGATTAATTCTCTTCTTCTGTAGAAGCACCAATCAAATGGAATATAATTTTATTAAAAAACAAAAAGCTAATAAAAGCTGAAAGAAATAATAAATTTTTAGTGCAAAATTGCATCGAAAATTATTTAGGTTGTTATAAAGCTGATTCAAATTTTTTACACTATTATTTATAGAATTAATTTGTTATTAATATTTATATTGTAATATTATTTTTAATATTTTCGATGTGTAGTTGATTTGTTAACCATAAGGATAATATTAAAAAAAATCAATTTTTATGTTTTTATCGCGTTATAGTGCCTCCTTTCAAGATCATATGTAAGTATATTTATATACCAAATAGCTTATTAGCCTTTTAAATTCTTACATTTTGTAAAATATTTTTTTATATTTAATTCTAATATTTCTGTTTCTCCATTTTAAAACTATCTTTTTAACTTATATAATTAAGATTACTATTAGAACATAGATCTTATTTATTTACAAATTAACAATGACACTTTAGATTTATGAATGTATAAATAATATGCACTATTATATACATTGATATCTTATCAAACTTGCTATTTAAGTTTTAAATATAAAACTATTATTATAAATATAATCCATATGATTTATTTTGATTGTTTTTTTATTGATTTTTGTATGTTAAAGTAAAATTATATATTTTCTAATTTATTAATAATTATTTTGTCAAAAGGTAATATATTTAGCATACACATTAAATTTATATTGACAAATGTTCTACATATAATATTTTTATCCATGCAATTGATAAAAAAAAATAAACACCTTGTTTATATTATATTATATAAAACATACAATATGAATTATTAATAAAAAAACTAAACATATTATTAGATTAATATATTTGATGTGTAATTATATTATAATTCCATTAAATCTATTTTTTCAGAAGTGCTAACTAGTTTCAATATTTTGACACAAATATTAGTTAGCTAGAAAGATGATATTAGTATTCTGCATTGGGCCTAATTTTTTGTGATCCAAATTGAAAAAAATTTTGTCCAGCCCAATCCTAAACTAAATTTTTTTAATTTGTTCCCCAAATTCCCAAAAATATAAATTATTTGTACACTGGGCTGGCCTAAATTAATTTAAATATAGAAATTAATAAATTTGTTAATATATTTTTACACTAAACTTATTTAGGTTTTTAACCATTCTCCAAACAAATAAAAAAAAATATATTTGTGCCTTATTTTTTGCAAAAATTTTAAAACATCGATTTTATTTCAAAATTTGAACCCAGCTCAGCTCAATTAAAAAAAAAAATAGGCCTCAACCAATTTTGAAAAATGTGCCTGGCCCAAGATGGGTTGAGCCTACTTTTGCATATCTGTTGAATACATTATATTTTATATAAATTGCAATCTTATCCTTAGTTGACAAGTTTTTTTACTTGATGTAATTAGGGCATGCCAATATTTTAGATTGAATGCCATTACATATTTTTTTTTTGTATTATCTGCTGCAAAAAAAGGTTTAAACATCTGTCACATTTAGTTAGTTTGTTAAACAATTCGATTTAGCCAATTTTTAAAAATGGCTAATTCAAAAATTTTACCAAAATAAAATAACTCAGGTTTCATGATTTTCCTAATATGTAATAAAAAACGTTTGGATATCTATTACTATAATTTTGATGCTTAGATAATATTATTTTAGATCTTAATTTGGCCGTTTTTAAAATCGACCAAATTGTGCTGTTTAACCAAGTATGTGGCTCCTAACCAGAATCATTTAACCTTTTTATACTGAACCACAACCATGAACCTTTTTTTAAAGTTTAAGGATCAAGAATTTATATTTTTTTAAATTATAAAATTTTTTAATAGTATTAAAACTTTCTTTCTCGCTCTCAAATGCAGAAAATCAAGAAATTTAAGATTAACTATATATTATTATGCTTTAATTGCAGAGGCACAATAATATCTCTTCTTTGACCAAGAAATAGTTGGAGTATCTATCTTATATTACTTTTTAAAAAAATTTGGTGCATTTAGAAAAAAATTCCAGATAATTGAATCATAGCCCTGTTCAATATTTTAAAAAAAAAATTCAGCCCACCCTGAATTTTTTTAAGATTATCAATTTTTAAAAAGAAAAATTTATATGATATTATATTTAAAAAAAAATAATTTACTCTATTTATTAATGTTATATAAATGATTATAATATATAAAATTTAAAACAGGTATAGAATTAATTTTTAGCAAGAAAACTTCTTTGTGAACTATCAATGTTCTCACAGTTTTACTGGATAATATTACTGATATTTTCTAGGGAAGCTGATGTTGCCAGCCTTGTTAATTCCCCCCTAAATGAGAATATAAATCTACCAATCTGCCAAATAATGAAGAGTTGCTAGAGATCTCCATAGTCTGGGCTGGGTAACATCTGGAAACATTTTATTTGGACCTTGCAAAAAATTAACGGGTCTGATAAGCAAAAAGTAGAGATACCCTCCCACTTAATAGTGAATTCAAAGATTTTTGTTGAAATAATATATTATATTTTGCTTAGAATTTTGATAATTAAATTAAAACTCGACATCATTTATCAATAAATGTGAATTCATTTTCCTACATTTGTGTATTGCTTTAATAAGAAAATCATGAAACCTAAATCCTCATCATTATTGGTTATTTTTCTATTAGATATATTTTTGGACATGAAAAAACCTAGCTGGGCAATTTTAGTAAAAAAATTGGAATAGGACCAGATTAAATTTAGCTAGGCTGGGCTTGAAAATTTTGCCATTTGCAGACCATAAGAGCTACCTTGGAATATTTTTTCTTCATTAAATATTGAGAAAAAATAGTAAGTGAATGTGGCTTTAACCAAATTTTTTCCGCCAAAAATTAATAAAATGATTGCATTAACCCAATAAGGAAAGAATAGGAACGCAAAATAAAATCAAAATTTAAAAAGTTGTGATCATCTTTCATTTGATGAACCTCTATTTAGAGTCATTATTAATTATACCCACCAAAATACCGGCCTTTAAAAAATAATTATATTAGCTCTGAAAAGTTTTATTTGAAAAAATCGGATAAGATTATTTTATGTTGTAAATTCTAATTGTATGCTAAGTTTTACTATATTTTATTATTTTTAATGTGCAAACAAAAAAACAATAGAAATTGAACAAAGTAAAATATTTATAATTATTATTGAATTGAATGTTCATAAGTGTAAATTATTCTTCAGTTATAGTGCTTTTTAGATTATTGACATCTGATATGTGTCATTATAACTTATTAAGATAATGTAAATTTTGATAGGCTGACAATTAGACCTTTTAAAGATATCACATATATATATATTCATCATTTTATCACCAAACTAATCTACTTCTTATTTTTTTTTCTTCCCTTTTTCAAAACATTTTACCAATCGGATCAAGATACGAATATTAAAATTTTTCGATTCCATACGATTTCAAATATTCAATATTTTTGCAGGCCTATATTATAAACTTCCGGCTACTTATTTAATTTTGATAATTGCGTATTTTAATAACATATTTATTAATTTCATTCTTGTTTTCTTATTAATCCCACCTTTAATACCCACAAGGAAATTGTCATAAAAAGATTGAATAAAGGCATGCATTTGCAAAAAATAATGGATATTTTACAAAATATCATAGGCATTAAGTAAATTAATTTACGGATTTAACATTAATAATTTTTAGTGTAAACATTTCGGTCATAGTATATGCCGCATCATATTGGAAGATGGAATCCTTGATGGGGATTCTTAATTTCAATTTTGTATCATTTACTGAGGGCGATTTTTAAATTTGAAAATCTAATTGGACCGGAAATGTATTCCATCATGATTAGAATACCTATCCTATAAATTTCAGACCATTTTAAGCATAATATTTTGTGTATTTTTTTTAATCTGTATGAAAAATCTATGTAAAAATTGATATAAATCATGAATACCATAAAATTTCTAAGAAAAGTTGTCTGAATTTTATATTATGAATTAGTGTCCTTAAAAAGATTGATTTGGGTCGATTTTTAAAAACGGTTCGATTAAGATATTAGTCAAAATAAGCTTGGAAATTTTGTTCATGGATAGCAGCAAGGTTTGGACCTCTATTTACCAAATCTCGAGGCTTATAAAATACTATTTTGGCTAAAATATTAATCGTGTCTTTTTTAAAAATCGACCAGATTGGGCTTTCTTACAACATTAGCGGGGATTCAAAATATTTTATTGGCCTTTATTTATGTTTTGGAGTTATAATTAAATTGCCTAATTAAATTTTTATATATTTTTTTATAAACATGATTGGACTTTAAATAAAATCCCTATCAATACTAAAAGTAGTTATAAAATTTAATTTGAATTTTATAAGGTAGAACATATGTGCATGGTTGAACTGAGGCCAATATTATTAACAATGTGAGCTGGCGGTTTTAAATACTCATAAATAAACTATTATATATATATATATATATATTATTTATTCAAACGATGAAAAGCTTCTATATTACGCAGAGGCCTTCTGAAATACCAATTTCTCGGCGCATAAAATTTCGGCCTGAAAAAAATATACCAATTCGATATTTTACAATTCTTTTTTCAGCTAATATGAAATCATTTAACATCTTATTTTGAGATGAAGATTATTTCTCATTTAATGCCAAAGAATTTATGTTATTTTTGGCGAAATATTTTTTATCTTGATGTATGTTTGATTGACTAAATAAAAATGATAATAATTGATCAATAATTAATTTATTCGCCTAGTACAGTAAAGTATATAAGAACAAATTAAAATATTGTAAGTTGTTTTCAAATAATTTATATAATAAAATTTAGTGCTGTAAACATTTCTAAAAAAAATCAAACGCCTTCAACGTTCATTAACAAAAATCGAACACGTTCACTTTTAAAGGAACACGATCACGTTCGTTCAAAATTTTATGATAAATTTTTTTTAAATTTAATTTAATATAAATAAACTAGCTAATAACCCGTCAAGAATGACGGGGTTGAGGGGTAATTAGTTAGTTTGTGTATATGATACTAAATATGCTTTATATTAAAATTTAGGAAAAAAAGAGGTAAAATTGATTAGAAAAATTTAAATATGTGATAGGAATCATATTGGGTAAAATTAAAAATAGAAATTCTTCAAAATTTTTGAATTTTAAATATGGGCTAGACATTGGCCTGAAATTTTTTTTTGCAGACATAGCCAGGCCTAATCAAAAAACCAAGTCCCATGCAACTTTCATAAAATTTTGCCATTTATTTCTATTGTAATTTAATAA